TAAGCTGTGTGTCCCGTGTCGTAACTTATGGCACGTAAAAGAACTTCATATCCCCAAAGGGGATCACTGAGCCAAATTCCATGACGTTTCCCGCCCAACAATAGTCTCTAAGGCCTCTGATAGATGGGGGAAGCATTATAGACACCGCTAAGCAAGTGGCCGAACTCGGTTGCTCGGCTGGACTGATGGTACGCACCATTTATCGGTAGGGTATAGAGACTGGTAGAATATCATAGAGGGAAGCACAATAGATCAAACTGGTCGCGGTGCATGGGGAAACCCACCCTCTCTAACTAACTAACTAACTAACTAAGACTAGGACTCCATATTTATCCCTATGCAGGTTTCTCAACGTACATGTCTGTGCACTTCTCATTTGCCCATGCTTGCTACATATTCCGCACATCAAATAATACTTTATCTAATCATCCTATAAATATTGGTTCAATAATATAAATTATGAAGCTCATCTAGGCTCATACTTTCTTTCTTATGCTGAAGCCTCGTCCTCAGCACTTGGGAACATTACGTCAAACGAATCAAATTCATCTTGAGACTACTCTAACCTAACCTAACATTTTATCGGTCTCGGATAAATATGTTCAAATATGAGATTGTATTCTCTATCTTGCCTTTATCTACTGAAGACGAATGTTAGCAAATATTGTAACTATGTACGTAAACATCACAGTAGAAGCAAAAGACGCGTAAGTCCTGTAAATTGTACCTTGGAGATGAGAAAGGGAACGCAATGTTTCACCGAGCTAGGAACAATCATATCTCTCTGCGCAACAGTAGATGACGTGGAACTTATTGCAATCGCGGTCACTGGCGAATTCTGGTTTATAATCAGGTCAGGCGGAAGTGCTGCAGAAGGATCCAGCGTTACTAATAGAACTGCATCCTCTCTCTCTCTCTTTCTCTTTTTCGCTGTGACGCATGCGCGGAAGCACAGTTTTGAGATCTCTTTTAGATCAGCCTTGAAATAACCCAGTTCTTTGACCTAACACACATGAATTTACGAAAAGCTATGATATTATTTACTTAAAATATTGACAGGAACATTATATATATATAAATAATAAAAAAATTGCAAATATTATATTTTTAATGTATTGTCACATGTAATGTGTGTCACTATATACGGGGTTTTGGATTGGATATTTTATTTATTGATCACTTACACACACGACTCGTAATTAGAAGCAATTACAACACTATCGCTAAACTCTGCAATTCACAAATCATCACAGCACCCGCTAAGCATTTTCCAGCCTGCTGTGTCTTCACAAGCCGTTCCCTAGCAACGGATGGTGAAAAATGCTGATTCTTCAGCTTCACGCGCTCAAGTCCTCTCTTCACAGATTCTCGTACAGAACTGCCGACTGTCTTCAAGGTAACTCCTCGGTACGGACCACGCAGAAACATCGATTCGTTGCTCTGGGAACGTGTTTACCGAGCCGTTGCCTAGAAATGTCTCTGGTATATTAGCCTATCTTGCCGTCGTCGCACAGCAACGGCCCTGCACGCTACAGTATAGTTATCAGCCTTCTGCTTTGTTCCTTGTGTCTGTTTCACACAGGCCTGATCGCGGAACTGACGAACTAACCGAATTTCATGAAATGGCCCTTCAATTTCTTCTACCCACGTAAGCTTCCTTGGGTTTTACCATTTTATCTTCATAGGTGTCAGTTACGTTTCTTTCGTCACCTGGCTCCGTATTGTCTTCGTTTTATTGCAAAATTTTTTCAAGAATTTTGGGGCACTCGGCACCATATTACAAGTCGGAAGGTGGCGGGTTCGAAACCCGATGAGGTGGATTTCCAGCCGCATTATGGCCCTGGGGTCGACTCAGCCTCTAACAGAAATGAGTACCAGGAATCTTCCTGTGGGGTAAACGGCGGCCGGAGCGTAAGGCTGACAACCTCACCGCCATCTGTGGGCCGATTGTCTAAAGAAAATGTGGGAGCCGCAACGTCTCACAACACTATGGGCCTCCACGGCCTGTCACAGGGATAGATATTTTTACACTAATGTTATTGTCTATGAACATTTTGATTTGTTCCGCAGCCCATACTTCAGCTTCTGTGTGAGTAAAATGTTTACCCAACAAAACTGTGTCTATAAGCTCATTTATAGTCAGGAGTCATTATTTTCCTCTAACATTCGTTGCATTTTCCTCGAAAGTCGTCAAGGTAATCATGTTGTGCAGATCATGCGTCACTCCAAGGCTTCTGGATACGACTTGTGCTTAGTGAATGCAATGCTTCCGGTAAAGTGAATGTAGCATATCTCAAGAATTATGACTTCGGGGATATAACGAAGTGGAGTCCAGTGGCCCTCCATTACTACCCACAGGGGCCGACGAATCTTCCTGACACAGAGCGACCCAGCGGACGAGCGGAACCCGCGGACGTTCGACCACACGCCGGGCTCTGTGTAAGCAGCAAGCGCGTTACATGTTTCACAACCACCTGGAGAGGCAGGTCCATTCACGCATATCCTATCTCATGCAAGAAGTTCTGGGAAGAAGTAATCGCCCACTGCCTTTGACACTACGAGGATTACATAGAAAACGGAGCGTCCAATAATTCTTATATTTTTGTGTGTGTATTCGTTTCCGCGGTCAAGTTTCTACCGTGCCGTTGCCTAGCAACGAGAAGGGATACATATACAAACACGCATTGATGGGAGAGATTTATGAAGTACGCCGTTGGGATGGGCTCAGGTGTCATGATATACTTACCAAGTTTAATAGAGAATGGTTCAGCCACTCAGAAATTTATGAGGAGGTGGTTTACGCAGACACACAGAGTATGAAGATCTTATAAGCCTACTTTTATTTTTGCAAGACAAAGGAAGTTTTCTAAAAATTATTTATACTGCAAGGAAGCAAAATAATTACATTACGTTTGTAATTTTTGGATATGCTGACTTATTTTTATGGTACTGTCAGTTGGGATTGGTGCTACAGTTTGTGTCATCTTCCTCGATGTGAACGTGGGTTTACGAATAGCAATAAGTTCGCGTGTGAACACGTTCGGAGTGTCAGGTGCTGTGCTGTTTATCACCAGAACATTTTAGTATACTGCTCGGTATTACTGCCGGAATTTTGTAAGTCGTATTTTACGACGCTGTCGAATTTCGGACTTAAGAGGTTGTCTTCAAAAGGTCAAAGACCACAACAACAATCCTTCGTTGTCAGACTAAATCGCTTTCATAATCTCTCATAACCACAGTTCTGCTGGAGGCGTCAGATTTCGATAAAAGTAGTAATTTAATTGTTTATAAAGTTTGTATAAGCGTTCGTACCCTCTATCATAATGGTTTATGTTAAAATATAATTAACTTTATTATTTTTAGTACTTTAATATGATTTTATTCCCTTTATTAGAGCTATAACAAGAACAGCAGTGTTAATGCATAACATAGAACGAAATACTGAAGAACGGGCCTGTGCCTTTAGCTCCAGGAACAAAACCTGTACGTCCCATGTTGTAATGAACTTGAGTGACGACTTTTCTGCTTATGATCTGTTTCCTTCACCAATCGCCGAACCACTTTTCCTCAAATAACAATCAACAGCAGGAACATACCACGCAACGCCAAAGTCAAATACTTATAGGTCTTTACCTAGACCAAAAACTCACGTGGAGGACTCACATCAAAAAGAAACGCCAACAGTTAACGCTGAAAGAGAGACAGCTGCACTGGCTGCTAGGAAAACGCTCGCAATTGTCCCTGGAGAACAAAACCCTGTTATACAAGGCACTCTTAAAACCTATATGGACCTATGACATCGAGCTGTGGGGCTGCGCTCGACCATCCAATACCAAAATCCTCCAAACATTCCAATCGAAAACACTACGAAGAATCACAGGCGCACCATGGTACGTAACAAACGGAACTATCCACAACGATCTCAACATACCCCTCATCACGGAAGAGATCAGAAAACATGCCACCAGACACCGTACTCGGATAACAGGACACGAGAACCCGCTAATCGTTGAATTAACGAAACTGCACCCAGCAGCAAGACGACTGAGGACAACCTGGCCAGAAGACTTAGGTAACTAAAAGGTAGAGTACTGCCACTGGGCAGCTGCCGCCTTCACGACATAAGCACCCATCGCATTTACTTATTGCTTGCAGTGGTCAAGTAGATTGTAAATTGACGTAAATAAATAAATAAATAAATGATCTGCTTTCAAGAAGGCATTAATTCGTTAACACAAAAAGCGTCTGTACAGAAAAAAAAAAGAACGAAGAAAGGAACAGGCGTGTAAAGTGAAAAAATGAGCAGAAAAGGAACACGCGTGTTATAGTGTAGAGTAAAAGAGGATGTCTTAGCAATTTTAAGCAAACTCTTTTTCACGAGGAACGATTTATACTACCGACCAGAGGGAAGAAAAGACTTAAAAAGCATGCACACGTAACATTTTATTTAAAAATTATATTTTTATATTTACAAGCAACAAACTCCTATGGCTATTATAGGTAATAATGTAAATATGTAAATAAAGTAAATACACGACAAGTTGATTGGACCGTTTTCCTTTTTGGAGAAGACTGTGGCCGGACGTTCATACATGACCATGCTGGAGCTGTATGCGCTGCCCCAGTACCACCTCAAACCATCCTCCAGCAAGATGGGGCGCCGCCATATTTATATATCCAGGAAAAAACTTTGATAGTTCCCCTTTGTAATTGTGTAAACCATGACTGTGTATAGTAAATTCTGAGATATAATTATTTTATTTTGGATACCTTTCATCCGGATACTCTGTATATTTTAACAACTGGCATTTTTTTCCCCTTGGCACTACAGCCCCAGTGGGCCTAGGCCTACCTCCATGAACTCCGTTCACTTCGGTTTTTCTAGATCTTACACATACGGTAGGACTCCTTGGGCGAGTGATCAGCTCGTCGCAAGGCCTCTACCTGTAGACAAACACAGAAAAAAGCACACAAGCATCCATGCCCTGAGTAGGATTCGAACCCACGATCCCGGCTTCCGAGCGAGCGAAGACAGTGCATGCCTTAGACCGCTCGGCTACCGTGACCGGCCAACTGGCATTTACTTTTCTTAATTTCGAACACCAAACGTACCAATGAAGAGGGCATATCATAAGTCATAAACTCTACCTCTTGATTACATTCCTGGGCTCTTCCAAGGTTCTGTACATTCAGCCTATCTAACTTAACCGAATTTTCAATACGTTCATCCTAGGGGCGCTGTTATGGTGGTCACGTTTGCTATTGGCCTTTCAGCATCCTTCGCAGGATCTTGCCCGAAGGGCTCTTAGGGACGCTGGCGAGGAACTCCACTCCCCCTTTCAGCTGCTTGTACTCTGACATTTTCTCTGCCACGTATTTCTTCACATCTTCTTCGGAGATTTGAGATCTTTTAGGAACAACAAAAGCTCTTGGAACCTCGCCCGCCCTCTCGTCAGGGACGCCAATTACTGCTGCGTCGTCAATGTCAGGATGACTGCGCAGAATCTCCTCCAGTTCCGCTGGTGCTACCTGTTAATAGAAAAGCGAAAATGAAGATCGGTACAGGGAGGCTGCTGTGACTTCTAATTGGGCACGGGCCTCAGCTTTCATGAAGATTTGAAGGAGCTACAGTTTGCTGAGGGACACTGACAGTCACACCCGACGGTGCAAGTTTCGGCGCCAGAGATTCATACGAAATAATCAGGATACATATCCAAGAACATGACTTGAAGAAAGAAATTGTTTAACAAAGAGCACATGTTTCCCCCAAAATGCATCAGTCTGTGGCGAGGCTAACAAGGACTGTAACTTGATATGTGATTTATTTATCTATCCACGTCTGTGCATATTTTCCACTTTTCGTAATTGGTCACATACATCCTCGCAGTTTCGTATTGTCAACAGTTCTGCCATTTTTAATTTACCACAAATAGTTAATGTGAAATTTAGAGTTATTTTTATGAAGTATCGCTGTGAAAAATGTCATACTTCGAGGTCCAATGAGTCATTAGTACCACAATGAAGCCTGAAACTAATTCCAAATTCTGATTGTTTTGTTTTACATTCAACAAGAATATGGCACTAACAGAACCTGTATGTCATGGCCTTGGGCACTGGAGCCGCTCTCATCTGAATTCTCACAAGAATGTGCTCAAATATTTTCTGTCAATAGACCACACGGTCTGATGTCTACAGCCTCTCTAACTTGTGACCGGTGATCATTATCTCACAGAAACTGCTTTAATTTAGTATGCTTATGGAGTGATAAGAGGAAACAAATTATTGTTGACGTTATTCATTTCGGCCAATATGTGTCTTGGAAACAATGGAAGCTGTATGTCAATGGACGAATGTTATTGCTCGTTGCTAGGCAACAGTCAGTGCACCAATGAAGTTGCTAGCTAGGAATCACGTGTCTTTTTTTTTTTTGCCTAGTCCGTGCCGAAGGTTTATAGGCGATGGTGGAGGTCGTTTTCAGGTCACTCATAGCTGAGAAGCCGGCTTTATACCCGTCACGGAAAAGAGTCCAGTAGAAGCTACAAGTCAGCTGAGAATACAAGGACGGGAATGGAGCATGTCCTTAGAGAATTGTGAAGATTTGTTGTGTACAGATTGGGATAGAGGAGTACAAAGTGACTGAAGACAAGAAGACGTCATACTGATTTGAAGTCATAGTTTCTGTGTTGAGATCCGTTGCCAGGACACGACCAGTGAAAGCTGATAATCCTAGTGCGTTTGAAACGGTGAACTGAAAGTGTGTAGAATAGCGATAGCGCTGTAGTAATTGTAATTAATAAAGATTGTAACCGAAGTGTAACCACTGTATAACCCGTTATTTTCGTCACGCGTACACGTGACAATATCTTCAGAAACAGTCACCACTATTGTATGCAGTAGGCTACTACTGTCAGCAGGTTACCAGTGCGACAGAACTGGAACTCTAAATGAAATGATTTTCAATTGATTGTTTGATGATGTCAAGTTAATAACTTGAATGATCTGTGAAGTCGTTGGTCTATATCAGTTCCTTTATTGTGAATCATGAGTTACCTGGAAGCCCTTGACCTTGATGAGTTCCTTCAGTCTGTCCACGACGTAGAAATGACCCTCCTTGTCGTAATAACCCAGGTCGCCTGTATGTAACCAGCCCTCACTGTCGATCATCTCAGCGGTAGCCTCAGGTCGGTTTAAGTAACCTTTCATCACCTGAGACACAAGAAGAATGTGTAGTTCTATAGGCAACTCTCCGTGACCTTGGAGACAATGATGGCATAAGTGGCCCCTAAACATATGAGACGTAAAACGCATGGATAGACTTAAGTAACTCGTCACCTGATACATATCAAAAGTAGCTCATGTTAACTACTGTTATATCACCTGAATTACAATAGAAGATTCATATTTTAAGTAACCCTTCATAACTTGAAGCATAAATAGTCTGCTCTTCACCACCAGAGGCATCGCGTGTTGGCAGATTGTATTGTATTGTATTTCTTAATCTCCTGGTATTTTAACAAGAATTGATCAATGGAAAGGGACGATACTGGCCAACAAGATCTACAGGAAACTCAGCCACACTTGCCGATACCTCAAATTCAACTCTGACTATCGGCTGTATATGAATAGAAGTTTGGTTCAGAATCTTCACAATAGAGCTTCCACCACATGCCAAGACCTGGTTAAAGACATAACAGCCTGAAAAGTGATCTCCAGCTCAGTGGTTATCCCCAAGGTTTCATTGACTCTGTCATTAACTCCAAGGGTAGGAGTTGTCTGAATAGAGAGCAAAAGCCTCAGGGCTCTGTGTATATCCCACATGTGAAGGGCTTTTCTGAAAAGTTCAAGCCTTTGGGGAACAGATATAACATTAGGACGAGCTTCACAACTAAACACGCTCTTAGGAGTTCGCTCATGAGAACCGGGCTGGAAAGAGATCCGCAACAGTGCATCTCCAGCATTCACTCTGAATGTGGCAGAAGTTACATTGGCGAAACAGGCAGACCTCTAGCCGTGCGGCTCCGTGAACATAGGCACAATCTCAAAGAGAGTCTTCTAGAAATTTCAAAATTAGCCCAACATGCACATGTAGAGGGCCATAGGGTAGGCTGGGATGAAGCTAGCATTTCGGAAATTGATCGTAAGAGCAGATATAGGAAATACAAGGAATCGGCCCATATGGGATGGTTAAACAAACCGATCAGTTCACCCAGTTTGGAATTTTCTCACATCTTGACCCTCTTATCAGCAATGAGGTTAGCAGGTCACAGAGAAGCTCTCTGTATGACGTGACAGGTTTCTATGAGGTTTCATTTCCGGGTTTTCAGTTTTTGATCTACAGATGGCGTTAGAGATAGGCTCAAATGATTTCCCAGAGTCTCCATTTAATTCTATGCATGGACTTGGTTTATTGGCTAGGTTTGTGGCAAGAGATTTTCTTCTCCGTTTCAATCTTAGTTTGAGGTCCGTGTCTGCTTTGTCGCAATTTTTCTTTTGCGTTCTTTCCCACTAGTTTCCTTCGACAAAGCCTGGGCTAAGATCTTTCTTTAGTTGCAGTTATACTGATATGGGTTGTCCGGTGACTGATGTTAGCTGTTTGTAAGGGTCCCAACAGTATAGGTGTCTCCCACTCACCTTAGGAAGGAAAGAGATCCAGTTTCCGAAACGTTCTATAGTTTTTATAATACAGGACGATGAACAAAGTCCAAAAATGCAGTAATTCTAACTTTAAGTACTTCTGCATCATTTCGTAGGCAAGAAGGGCTGGTTTGTTTAAATGAATCTTAGAACACCTGAGACATATTAGAAGATTTATATTTTAAGTGGATTTGCATCATCAGATATAACAACAGTCTGAATGTGCTTTATCACCTGACCCATAATAAGAATCTATTTATTTAATGAACTAAAGGAAACGTCTTTTTTTTCTCTCTACCATAACAACGATTTCATCAGTACGAAGGTAGGTAAATTGCTCCTTCCATTTTGATTTAGGGCGCCATATTCTCCACTTTCATAGAAAATGCATAATGTCCCTGATACAATAGTCTTTCAGCAGGACATGATTTCCAAATACTGTCTTTTTTCGTGGGCAGGGATTATCTTTATATCTTCCAATGTACTCTTTATCTGCAATTGTTCCCCCATCTTCTCATTCTTAATTTTCCCCTTTATATTTACTCGCATCGCCGATCTGTAAACTTCACATATGACGTTTCCGTTCTCCTTTCAGTGTTCCTTCCTCAACCTCCTTTCCACTGTGATGCATCGAAATTTGGTTGCAGAGGAGGTTATACGTATGAAACTACTGTAGCCACTTTACTTGTGGAATTGGAGGAGTGTCTTCTGGATGAATGTCAGGTGCCCTGTACCTACACATATTTCTTTTTCCTTGGCACTACAGCCCCAGTGGGCCTAGGCCTACCTCCATGAACTTCTCCGTTCACTTCGGTTTTTCTAGATCTTACACATTCGGTAGGACTCCTTGGGCGGATGATCAACTCGTCGCAAGGCCTCTACCTGTAGACAAACACAGAAAACGCACACACACAAACTAAACATCTATGCCCTAAGTGGGATTGGAACCCACGATCCCGGTTTCCAAGCCAGCGAAGACAGTACATGCCCTAGACCGCTCGGCTACCGTGACCGGCAGTGTATAAGAATAATATATAAGAATTCAGTTCGTACCTCACAGGAAACAGATCCGAACCCACGATCCCGGTTTCCGAGCGAGTGAAGACAGTGCATGCCTTAGACTGCTCGGCTACCGTGACCGGCATCCCTACACATATAAGTAAACTTATATTCTGGTGACTGAACTCAACTCGAAAACTCAGCACCCCGTGACTAAAATCATGATAAATACGTCTTATCAGTTTCAGTCCAATCATATCCTCATAACTTACTTGTTAGAGAGCCAGATTAATATTATCCTGTTTCTCAAGTCTCCCAAGTATCGGCTTTCCGAGAACCCTTCACCATAAAATTCTGTGCATATTTCGCTTATGATTCATGCAAGCTGATCTAAACAGCAGTCGTTAAGAAGGCCGATAACAGCGGTAATGTGACATTTGTGCTTGCCAACGTGACTGGCCGTGTCATAGCTCATGCGGTTAGTTGCTGGCTTCCCACCGCAGCGGCCCGTATTCGAGCCAAGGTCAGGTAATTTGGGGTTTGTGATGGACAAAATGGTGCTGGGACGGGTTTTCACCGAGTACTGCGGTTTCCCCGGCCAATTCTCATTCCACCGAATGCTCCATATTCATCATCATCTATCATCCGTGGCTGGTACAATAGGCCAATTAGTGGCCGACGTACCAAGTGGACTCAGTCTCACCCTATCCCAAGAAACTAAGGAAACAAAAAACTACCGACGTCATTTCTCGGTTTAGTGGAACAAGGCACTGGCATAAAGGACCTAAGTCGTATGTATGTATGCAATATGGAGTATAGAGTGTGCCTGTTCTTAGGCCGGTTATTTCTGTTATGTCAATCATATATTTTATTCCACTGACCAACGTTTCATTACTTACCACGTTGACCCCACACAGTGATCTCACTATGCATATACATATATCGCGAAGACATATGTCGCTTTTGCAATACAAACCGATTATTGCAACTGGATCAATGACTTAGATACGAAAAGCTACAAACGAGAGAGTTTTATTTATAGACACGGACCCACGGGACTCGCTCCTCACCTGCGGGCCCCGGAGGCAGATCTCGCCCATTTCCCCCTGAGGGAGATCAGTTCTGGTCTCTGCGTCCACCACCTTCATCTCTGTGTTGGGAACTGGTACGCCAGCGGAGTCGTAGTCGGTGCTGCCGATGATCCCATGTGTGATCAAGGGCGAGGCCTCTGTCATGCCGTACCCTGCACAAGAAGGGAGAGTTGTCTTGGATTCACTCCTGAGCACCCACGCCATCATTTTTAACACCTTTTAATTCTCTCTGTCGTTCTAAAGGAAGAACTCAGATTAAGGTGGTTACAGAACAGGATATTTTGGGAGTCAGCCCCTAAAGCAGAGCCTTCCTTGAGAAGCTGATAGTCGCTCGGCTATTCAGGAAATTCCACGCCTTTTACGGAACCCAAGGTCCATTACCATATATACAAAATCCTCTCAGATCACAGTTTAATTTTTCGCTTTTATCAGCTATTATAAAGGGAATAAAATCAAGATGAATCTATGGGATGGATATGTAGCACGCATGGGCAGGCCATCTATACATGATTTCTATCGGAAGAACGTGAAGACTGAGACTACGCGACAGACGTAGGCGCTGAAGTGAAGGTAACCACGTCCTGTGACTCTCCGTACGTTTCATAGACGTGGTACTGGGACCATCTGAGTGCTGTCGGGAAAATTGAATTTTTAAGCTCATCCGTCCATTGTCAGCCGTGCTGTGTATGAAGCTCAAAATATTTCTTGAATGTTGATCTCATAGTATGCCTTTTCTTTTTCAATTCAAGGCCCAGGCCTCTTATTCAGTTCCGTAATCATTTTACACAGACGGTAGGACTCTTTGGGCGAGTCATCAGCCCGTCACAAGGTCGCTACCTTAACACAGGACAATACAGAATAAACGCACGCACGCACACGCACGCGCACACACACACAAAATCCATGCCTTGAGTGGGATTCGAACCCATGAATCCAGCGTCCAACTGAGCGAAGACATTCATGCCTTAGACCGCGCAGCCGCTGTGGAAGTCTTCACAGTATGCTACACAATATGAAATGTAAAAAGATCTTCATTGATGCTTAGGACTCTTGTTCGAAATATTTTCGGCCTAGTGGTTAGGATCATGTAACGAAATGCAAAGGAAGTTATGCCTCTGTGCAATGCCCTATCTGTAGCGGGATGCATCTGCAACAATTTGCTCATGTAGCTCACTGAAGTAGACACACACGTCATGTTACCTTTCGAGACGGTCAAGTATTACCTTGGAGGATGTCAGTTGTTGGCGGTGTCCTCCTCAAAAAGCGCTCCACATCAAGACTTCCCAATGGCGCCGCCCCGGACATAACGTGGCGGAGTGATTGGAGGTGCTTCGGCCTCACACCGGGATGCGAAGCCAGGAGCAGAACGAGTGGAGGCGCTAAATACAGTACAGTCGCCTGCAGACAAGGCGATAATATAGACGTTAGTTGAATGTGGAAGTATTACTCAATTACAACACACAATTACAGAAATGAGAATCTCACGTTACCTGATGTTCGTCTAGCAGTTTGAAGAAGGAGTTGGGTTCGAATCTGGGCAGCGTCACGAACTTGACACCTTGGGCTAATTTAGCCAGCAACATAACGCTCAAGCCATAGACGTGGTAGAAGGGCAAAATTGCAGGCAGGACATCCTGATGTGAACCTGCAAAATTATGACATGGCAGAGGCAAGAGATATGGACAACTGCAGATAATTATTCAGTGATGCGTTATCTATCTGATATGAGATCCGAAAATCTGATATTTCTGATACCGAAGATAACTATCAAACAATTTGTATTTCCACAAGATATACTTAATGCCATTCTATATTTTGTTTATTATTTCTTCAGCCGTCTCCTTCCAAGAAAGATCTATATACACTTCTTGCATCCTTTAGCTCATCTATGATTTATATTACGTAATCTCATACACGGCCGGTCACGGTAGCCGAGCGGTCTAAGGCATGTACTGTCTTCGCTCGCTTGGAAACCGGGATCGTGGGTTCGAATCCTACTCAGGGTATGGATGTTTAGTTTGTATGTGTGCGTTTTTCTGTGTTTGTGTACAGGTAGAGGCCTTGCGACGAGCTGATCACCCGCCCAAGGAGTCTTACCGAATGTGTAGGATTAGAAAAACCGAAGTGAACGGAGAAGTTCATGGAGGTAGGCCTAGGCCCACTGGGGCTGTAGTGCCAAGGGAAAAAAACTCATACCCTCTAATTAAGTCTAAATATAATCGTCATTCTGTTTTCAAACACTTGTAATTTACGTTCTTTCCTCAACGGACGATGTCTAGTACGAGGGCCATGCGGAATTGGAACGATTATAACCTACTGCATTTTCCTGAATTCACAATTATTCGTAAAAATCTTTCAGAATAGAAACGCTGATAAAACTCGATAGGGTATGCGATAAATTGCTCATACACCAGGCCGGGCAAGTAAGTTTCGAGAATATTTTTTTAAATGTATTTTGAGAGCTGTACATTTTAGCAACCTAGAATTGTTCAAAGTAATCTCCCTACAATTCTTCACAATATAGCTATTCGGCCATCGTTCAAAACAGTTTTTAAATTTCTGAACAGGAATGTCTGTCAATTATTTTTACGAATGATCTGACGGCTCAGACTCGAGAGTCGTTTTCCTTTCAGCACATTCTTGGGTTCTGGAAACATCCACACGTTAGCTGAAGCCTAACCAGGAGAGTATGGGCGATGATTCATGGCGGAGATGCATTTTCGTAGTAAAACCTGCGACACTCGAAACGTAGGATGTGACTGCGCATTGATATGGTGAGGAATTAATGAACGATCTCTTCAGAACTCTCCTCGCTGGCGCCTCATGGCATCAATTAGACTTTCCAGCACCTCCATGTAAAATATCTGATTAACAGTGGTCCAAATTCAAAATGGTGATGTCGAAAAAATAGCCCAACATTATTTTGATCTTGGACTTTGACATCCGTGGCTTCTTTGGCCTGAGAGAAGTTTTGATCACCTTTCCATGGACTGGCTTTTGGCCTCGGGATCATACTGATGACACTATATTTCTTCACTAGTGATGACACGATCCAAAAAATAGTCTTCTTGGATTTGTTCCATAAAGTACATGTACATAGTGAGACGTCTGCCCTTTTATTCCGCGACACGAGCTTCGTTGCTAACTTTCCCATGCCAAGATCCTGTACTAACATTTTCCTAAACATCTCTTTTGCTCATATCGAGCTCATCAGCTATCATACTTCAAATTAACCGGCAGTAGATCGCAAGAGTTTTCTCGGCGCTTGTTACGGGCGCACCTTGCCTTTGATCGTCATTCACATACTCTGTGCCTTCTCTGAAACGTTTTTGCGATATAGAAACATTAATCTTGCTCATAGTAGATTCGCCATAAATTGTTTTTAACACCTCTAACGTTTCACTTGTCGATTTCTGCATTTCACATTCACTCTCTGTTCCATCGTACGCAGCATTTTCACGTCTGGAGAAAGTTGAGGACGCACAGTGACCTAACGAGATATTGTCTACTGAACGCAGCTTACCCAAACTTTCCGTGTGAGCTGTGTCTTGTTCTACCACCTAACATTCCAAGTAATAGCGTTGCCACATCACCCGGTGTAAAATTAAAAATGAGTCTCGAAATTTATTTGCCCGATCTTGTATACTGGAATTACATTACATTACATTATTTATTATACTGCAATTGGGTTTTAGCCCGGTGGCAGTAGTACACAATAGGACACAACAGACAAGTAACACACATTACACTAAGTGACAACACGTTCAAACAAAACACAATACACAAAACACAACAATAAGGACATCCTACCACAGTGAATACAAACCAAATACGATTAACAACTACAACAATTATAGAGAAATACAAACAACTGCAACAAATACAACAACAAGGACATCCTACCACAATGAATACAAACCAAATACGATTAACAACTACAACAATTACAGAGAAATACAAACAACTGCAACAAATCTTGTGATAATTAACAAATGCGTTTCAAATGCAGAAGACGTGAATCACCAAATGAAATGGAGGCGATCTTTGCCTTTGTAAGACACTGTTCACCTGGAAAGACTGAGAAATATTAACACCATAAAAACGCTGAGTCACAGTTGTTGATGACCAACTGTGACTCCAATCAAATTTCTCCCAAAAATTGATCGGTGAAATTGCTTATATAAAATTGAGGGTCGTACCTAGGGCGGGCTCACAGGTACTTATCTCAGGCGAATCGTTGTGCTGTGCGATGTTTGAAACTATGTTTCGGTGGCTCAGCATCACACCTTTGGGAAACCCCGTCGTCCCGCTTGAGTACGGCAGAACTGCCGTGTCTTCGGCGTTCCCAGTAAATCGAAAGTCTGAAGTATCAATTCCATCTCGAATCATCTCTCGGAAGTCAACAGTCCCAGTCGGAATGTGAGACCCCGGTTCAATTCCCGGTGCGATGACAGTGAGAGGCTTCACTTGTCTGGCAGCCAGTGCGATGGCTTTCTGCACCTTGGGGAGTACAGTGGACAGTGTCACTATTGCTTTGGGCTCGCAGTCTCTTAACTGCCGCGACAGTTCATCTGAAACAAGAAAGATATTTTCAGGAAAATTAAGTGAGGCTCCCAATGTTGCTCCATATAATAAGCAATTATTTAAAACTTTAATGCCGAGTTGTACAAGTATCACTTGCTTTGAAACAACTAGAATTCTAAGTTCTGCCCACAGAGTATATAAACAGCGATTGCTAACAGGGTTAACTGGTTAATATTTCTAGCGGAACCTTAATGCACGCGTGAAGGTTAGACATCGCTGTTCCTGCAGCAAGCCATGAAACCCCTTAGGGTTGTGGGACGTCGAGGTTCCCACATGGCTTTGAGGTTGTCAGGCTTACGCGCTGGCCGTCCTTTACCCCCAGGAAGATTCCTGGTACTCATTTATGTTAGAGACTTGGTAGAACCCAGGGGCATATTGCGGCTTGGAGGATTAGGTAAATTGAAAAATCAATTGACCTTATCGGGAACCGAAACCGCAACCTTCCGGCTTGAAGCATAGTGCCTTCACACGTATGAAGCGTAAACTGAATTGTTATAGGCTATTTAGAAGAAATCCCGTCGTCAAAGGGTTAAACAGGTCACACAAAAACAGGTTCTGAAGACGGGAGATCAGGGTCGTGTCCAGCTGTGCTGCACCTGAGACTAGCTCATGTCAGAATACAATCCTTACCTTATATGAGAATAGCTGACCAATGGGTATAAGGGAGTAGGAATTCTGAGACTCTTGGCTGGCGATTTCCAGATCTCAAAATCTGTGGACCGGCTGTGTCAGAGTAAGCCCCTACGTGGTCCCTCCTGATGGTCGACTGAGAAAGTTGAAGATCGGGGAAGCCCGAAGAAGACTGCTATTGCTGGCCTCATCTGGCTGATTCTAGATGAGTGGCTGACTGACAAAGCCTGTGTAGGTTAATGAGTGAGGGATGACCTGCCGTAATTATTTGGTATTAAGAGTGCCCATTGGCCGCGCCATAGCTCAAGCGCTTAGTCGCTGGCTTCTCACCGCGGTGGCCCGGGTTCGATCCCGGGTCTGGTCAAGTGGGATTTGTGGTGGACAAAGTGGCGCTGGGGCAGGTTTTCTCCGAGTACTTCGGTTTCCCCTGCCAATCTTCATTCCAACAATTGCTCCACAATCACCCTCACCTATCATCTGGGGCTGGTACAATAGGCCAGAAGTGGCCACAGTACAAGGGACTTAGTCCCACCCCACTAGCAATAAAAAAATATACATCTAAATGAAAGAATAAAGACTGATCTATCCAAAAATTGCCCTAATTTTTTTCCCAAAATAAAATTGTACACTGTTCAAACTATTACCCAAAACATGTAATAATTTTCCTAATTTTACAAACGTACAACCGCCTGCCACGGCCAGACCGTAAAAGATGTAGGGGAAACATTGGGAGTGAATTACGTTAATAAACGTAAATGCCAGCTTCTCAGAAATGCAATCCGTTTTTCTCCGTCGCTTACGGTTAAGGACTTATGACCATTTGTTTGTAACAAATACAGCTAATACAATTCCTCTGTTTAGCGGTTGACGCAATACTATAGGCATTCAACTCACTGACGTAACTACAAACTAAACGCTTAGGGTAATTTCAATAAATAATATTATTATTTTTTATTGTTATTGGAGGGGGTGGGTTTCCCCATGCACCGCGACCAGTTTGATCTATTGTACGTCCCCCTGTGATATTCTACCAGTCTCTATACCCTACCGGTACTGGTGCGTGTCATCAGTCCCGACTCAGCCAGCGAGTTCGGCCTCTACTGGCTCAGCGGTATCTAGATGCTTCCCCCATCTACCAGAGGCGTTAGAGACTATTGTTGGGCGGGAAATGTCCTTACAAATTTGGCTCAGAGGTCTCCTTGAGACATGAGGTTACTGTACATAGAGTAACGTTTCAATAAAATTTCAATTTTAATATACAGAGTACATTTATTCCAATAAAAATCTTAATTTAATACCGTTTTCAGCTTTAATCTTGGGAACCCATGTACCCCAATCACCTTTTGAATCATCATGTGTTTATGAATACAGAAGTGCGTTTACAATACGATCTAGTAATGACGGTGTAACGATTTACGAACTAACGAAGATGCACTCTTGTTCCCGTAGCAGACGGAGTATATATTAGCTGCCAGACTTTATCTTCCATGACGTGTCGGACTGCTGGTATACTTACCAGCCGTGCAGTCTGGGTTAGCAGTAGAGACAACAATTCCAGCCTCCACAGAGCCCAGTAATATGATTGGCCACTCTGCTGTGTTGGGCATCACAATGACGAGTGTATGGCCGGGCTGCAGACCGGCCCGGCGCAGAGATGCCGCGAACCGCCGACAGAGTTCGCGCGCCTCCGCGTACCTGTAGTGACGACCCGTCACACCGCATTCCTAGTCATGTGAGCCGAGACAACGGTGAGTCAAATTTGGTTAAGGAAATCAGAATATTCCCAGTCATCTAGCTAGCAGCTACCTCATCTCTGCATGCTTTGCCCCACTCCCATAAATTATTATTCGTATTCCGGCCTCATGTGAGAAATGATATAGTTTAATTGTATTATAATCAGTTTAGTGCGATATTTAGTAAAACGTCAGATTATTATATATTATTAAAGTCGCTGTCTTATGGTTAGCCTGTAACACTACATAATAACCCCTTCGTGTGTTAAAGATGTGGAAGTGGGCGGGGCAGGTAAGGTAAGGGAGCACATGGCAGGCAGTACTGCCATTACTTGTGTTCATGCTTTCACTGATCCGGCTACTGTCAAAGCCGTATATCAGGAGAAAAGTGCAAAGCTCTGAATTTAAATAACCTGTTGTAGACCTACATCAGTTGATTAGACGTCACAAAACACCGTGACATCTTTGCTAATGCGGACACCATTCAGCTTGAACCTCATTTCACACAGAAAGTTACTACCGATCTGTTAGAACTCCTATTTTGTATTCATGAGATCCCAGCTTCGGATGTATACTAATGTTATAATTCCATCTAAGTCTAGGTCATCCACATCGTCTTTTCTCTTTAAATATTCCGATTAAAGAGTTCTAAATATTTCTAATCTTCCTCATGTGTGTAATATGTGAAAGCCATCCCTGCTGCCTTGACTTTGTCACCCTAATATCTGACGAAGTGCACAAATTTTTAAGATCATTTTGTAATTATCTCCATTTTTGCTTTACTTCGTTCCTCTTATCATCAGGCCAAAATTTTCTTTACAACACATTGTTGTCAGATATAAACAATATGTGTTCTCTGTATGATAATTGTACTACTTACGAAGGCCACTTTATTGGGCCATTGGTCAACATGCTGCCACACGTATTCTGGTACAGAGAGGGTCGGCAGTTCGACGTCTGGTAAGGGCGACTTAACAATATGTCTGGAAACACTAGCGAGCCGTTGTTGCTGCCTGCATACCAGGCGCAGCCCGGACCTTAGAAAGCCTGCTCTGCTATGCATTGCGGGTCACAGAACTCTGTGAATGAAAGATAAATGAGTAAATCTGAACACAACAAAAGAATGTGAAGATAATTCAAAAGTAAATTATGAAGTCAGAACAGGCTCCGTTTTTGTAGAAGTTGACTGTCACGCAGATCGTCAAAAATTTTCCCCGTCTTTTATGAGAATATGAAGTTCATTGCGGTGCTTGTAAGAGCCCATTATTCTAGCCTACCTCGAGCCATCTGAATCCACTCCACACCCCCAGAACCGATTTCTTTAATGCACATTTTAAATCTTCCCACATAACTCTAGGTCTCCCAAATGACATAACTATTTAGGGGTTTCGACAAAGTTCTTGTGTTAATTCCCAGTGAAATAACATGAATCTCGTCATGAGGGCAGTTCCTTGCCATCGATTTAGAGAACTTTCAGCCGGTAAACGGAAAAGTTAAGCAAAAGTCATAAGTAATGTTTCTGAAGGTTACATAATTAAAAAAAAGAATGGGAAAAAAATCTATACTGGTAGTAGTTAATGTTAGTTCATATATGAAAATACTGAAATTGTGTAAGCGGAACTCGAAGATTCTAAACCGCCTATACAAAATCCCGTTGTCGGATAAGTTTCTGAGACAGTTCGGTCCTCATACGACTCATCTTAATATTATCTTCTCATATCTTCCATCGTTTTCGAAGTGATCACTTTACGTATAGATTCTTCCTAAAATTTTGTATTTATTTCTCGTTTCCCTACCCGAAATGCATGTCCAGCAGAGATCTGCTTGCTACCTGCTTCATGGTGGTTTCTTGCTTGGCTTAGTCCTCAACTCTAAAAGTGGAGGCGACATGTTCCTCTGAAACGTCGGTTGGCTTCCAGTGAACTACACAGCGTTATAAACCAGTAGATAATACTTTTCATAACCATCGCTGTGAGAACCTCAGATAATACGAAATTCTGTTATAATGTCGGACATGATGTTTACTCAGCCGTGGCTACGAAGAGCGCGGTCTCCTGGGTTGTAACGCAGCGCAATTCGGAGAGAGCCCGACGTTTCGGATGACCATGTCGCCTCAACATACACGATCTAAGAATACGGTAAGTAAGAACCCAGCTTCCTGTCTTCTGCTGATTTCCTGCTTGGCTTACTCTTCGGTTCTGAAGATGGAGAGGATATATTCCTCCGAAATTTCGAGTTTTCTCTCAACTACACAGCTTACAAACTCACGTATATGACTGTACTCTTCGCGTGGTATTATGGTTCTTATGGGACATCACCCTAAGATTTCCGTACGGCTGCCAGAGGCCACAGCAACCGGAAGCTTGAGAACAGAACCTCCCCAGTGAATGCACTATATATACTCGTATAGACCTAAAAGTGAAGGGTCATTCTTGGTCTCGAGACATATCAGAAATCACGATAAACATGAATTAGGTCATGGGTCCCGACGGGGCTCGAAACCAAGAAAGACTATGTTTCTGTGTTACGGGTTTTATTTGTATTTTGAAAATGCGCAGGCTCATAGTAGAGAAATTTCTGCTACTCTGAAGCCCATGGTTAAAATGTGCCCCATTATTAACCCGCCGGCATGTGCTGCACCCTAACGGAAATTCACTGAAATGCTGGGTCTGCGTACTCTGCTTACCCATAATGCTACTTGGACTGTAAATGAACTAAAATCGCTTGTCCGTGTCGCCGTTTCAGAAGAAGGGAAACAATAACTTTTAAATTTATTTTTTTTAATTCGCTTAGTGGGTGTTTGAGCCCAACTGGGTCCACTCGGCACGGCGGCCACTGATTGGCCTATTGTAGCCTGCCCCGGGTTATTATGTTGATGGAGAATTTGGTGGAATGAAGATTGGCAGGGGAAACTGAAGCACTCGGAGAAACCCCGCCCCAGCGCCACTTTGTCCACCACAAATCCCACCTGACCAGACCCGGACTCAAACTCGGGCCGCCGCAGTGGGAAGCCAGTGACTAACCGCTTGAGCTATGGCGCGGCCTACTTTTAAATGTAAATAAGATCTCTCTGTTTGGTTAATTAACGACGCATTTCCAGCAGGCAACAAACTTCCCTCATTACATAAATGCGTTCTCCGATGACAGCAACGCTTCATTTTGCACAACAAGAAACGTTAGACGAAAACGGGTATTGTCGGAAAATGTGGACTGCTAGTTAGCGAGTAAAGTAGCATGGCCCAATTTTACTGGCCATTTTCTTTTCTTCTTCTTCTTCTTCTTCTTCTTCTTCTTCTTCATCTGCCTAATTTGCATTTGTGTGGGCCTGATATTTTATTTAACTCTAGAAAATATTTAAAATGAACTGATCCTCTCAAGCGCAACACATCCATCTTGTAAAACACTACATTAAAGCCTGTTTATTACGTCAGTAAAACAAGAAAAAAAAGTTAATATAAAAAAAAAAAATACAGTAAAGTGTACTGCTTTTAGAATGAAGGTTCAGAATTTAAGCGTATTATTATAAACAATGAAATTGTGGTTCTCTGTAGCTGTCAGAGAAGAGGATTATGGATGAAACGTAGAGAATATGGTTCACCTATCTATGATTGAAACTATATTAGTAGTGTGAATCACAAGCATAGGACTAAGAAAAATACTCGGCGTTTCTAAAATATCGTTACGAAAGTATGTCAACATGAAGGTCGTGTTGAAACTGAGTCTATCAGAAACCAGTCTTGTGTGTTGGAACAATGATTATTCGTAGCCAAGTTATTTAGTGCAAACCTGCAAGGTTACTTGGATGTGTGTATCTAGGCAATATTCTGAAGAATGTCTTTACATTAATTTTATCGGTGTAATTTTTAACATGAAGCCAATTTGCAATGTGTGATTAGTATGGTATAACAGGGTATAAAACTGAAATCGTACGCGGGCTAAACGGTTAATTTCGAAAGATCTGACTAACAGCACATTATTTTCAGCAATATAAAGTTAAATATTTTATTTAAAATTAAATACAATATTAAAATTGGTTCATTAGATTATTGCCGGATTCCCAAGATTCTAAGATACTCAATTTTTCACATTTTAAATCTTTTTAATTCGGGGCGAGTCTTACGTTATATTGCGTCTGAGAATCCATGAAGACAAAATACATTTTGCGACTGAAGTGCAAGGAAAGTAACACTAGTCACGGGACAATAAACACAAAGATAGCAAAAAATGGGATACCGAAATTACTTGTTGCATATTTCCATTGTTAAAAATGTCGTTACGTGCGACAAGGTATGAAATACCTAATGGGGGCTTGGATGTCTTATCTAAACTTCTGTGATGAAGAGAGGTCGGCCAACTTGTATTGTTACAGATATGTTCATTGTTTGAGCTTAAAAATTAAAGGTGCATCTTGCAATCGAAGGGACACGCGGTAGCGTAGATGGCTAAGGTACTGTGCTACAAGCTGGAAGGTCGTGGGTTCGTATTCCGATGAGGTCATTGGATTTTTCAATTGACCTAATCCTTCCAGCCACACTGTGATCCTGGGGTCGACTCAGCCTCTAACAGAAATGAGTATTAGGAATCTTCCTGGGGGTAAAGGGCGGCCGGCGCGTAAGTCTGACAACCTTACCGCCGTCTGTGAACTGATTGTATAGAATATGTGGGAGCCTCGACATCTCACAATCCTATGGGCCTCTATAGTCTGTTACAGGGACGCTAGTCAATAACTTCTTTCCTGAAAACCTATTGCTAAACAAAGTTCGTGGCTTCTTAAAATCAGGGAAATGTTATATTGTTAATAATAATAATAATAATAATAATAATAATAATAATAATTAATATTGTTAATTTAAACCGTATTGCACTGTATACTTCCGTTGACGTACGTTTCACGTTTTCATTCTGTCCACGCCCACTTACCCAGCTCAGTAATCCTTTCAAGAAATTTCGAAGAAAAATTATTGTATTTTATGCTACAGATATGACTAGACTATTAAGTTTGTGAAATCTTACCTTAGCTACCGTGTACATTGTCTGGAGAACTGACGTTGTTCGGACCGAGAGAGGATTTTTATCCTGGGTGAAATATAATTGGAAACCACTGTCATTACAAATTTCACACTTCTGTCTGTTAATAGAGATCTGCTTTTCGTCGTTTTGTTGTTTAACAAACAAACATAACAACAAACTCCGTGGTTATGGTCAACAAGCAAACTATATTGACCGAGCGATAGCCGCTTGTTGGCGAAGTTAGTGCCAACTTTAGCGGATAGAGCGTGTCGCATTGTCAGCGCAAAGAATCCCCATGTCCGTTAATTCGATTTTCTAAACCGGAGTCGCCATTTCTTTGAAATAGCTGCTCAATTATCCTCACGAGGCTGAGTGGACCCCGTTTCAGACCCACTACTTCTCAGAAAATCTGGTGGCGCCGGGAATCGAACCCGGACCTCTGGATCTGTAGCTAGGAACTCTGACCACTAGACCACAGTGGCGGTCTATTTTGTTGTTTACTCATATAAATCCACAGGGAGTGCTCATTTTCGAATGACTTGAGAAAATGATGGTAGTCAAGGTTAGGATTGTAGATAGGCCTACACAAATTATTAGTCAACAGTATTGATGTTGGAAGTAAAATTCAGATATCGTGGATCAAATTGTCGTTGCATACAGCAGAGGTCGTAAGCGTTGAGATCGCCTCTTGATGTATTTACAACAAATATCTGATGAAACTCAGGAAATCACAGTTTAAAAGCAAGAACCATTTGAAGACACGATAACTTCCATGACTTCTGACCTTTGTTCTTCAAAGATTCATGCCTGACCTGCAGCCAGGCCGAATTATGTACATGATACTAGTAACATGCCCTAAGTTAACGTGTTTCAGACTTGCTGGTACTGTTGACTCAGCGATATCAAGAAAATGCTTGTATACCTCACTGTTAATCAAAGTGTTTTCGTAAATCCACATTCTCATCAATTATTATTTATGAGAGTGCGGATTGCTTTGGCTACAGTTTATAAAGCAGTTGATGGAACCCTGTAGTTGGGCCACGTGTGTGCATGTGCAAAAAGCATTGGA